AGTTCTACCACTACTAAGCACTAATGACAAGTATTATTTTCAATTTGAAACAAAACTCAAGTACAAACAGACAAGGTAAGTAGTGGAAAAAATGAAAAGTGCTACTTAAAGTTAGTGAGAAAATAGGAGCAAGGGGGAGGGGAGATGCACAAAAAAACAAAAGGCCCCAAAACTGTCAGCTAAGTTTCATTAGCTAAGCACTGATAACAAATTATTTTGGTAGTAGCATTCCTGAGCAATCAATGTTTAGACATTTTATAGCTGTCTCTCATAATGAAGCCGGAAATATGCTTCTGGATATTATTTAAATACTTTTGAGAATATTTATCTCCTTTTGTATAGCATATATTTTGTTTTGGCGTGTTTTACTTTCTAATATAAGAGTTTATGTATTGTATTGTAGCATTGAGTAATTGAATTGTACTATATTACAAAAAAAAATATTAGAAACACCTGGATTTCATTTTAATTTTTCCTTTTTTAGTATGTCTTTAATTTTCATTTAGCAGCAACTTGGGTTTAAGCTTCATTTCATATTGAATGAATGTAAAAAAAAATTTGTTTTCTACACCCTGGCTTTTTCAATATTAAACTTCCATGTGTTGGTTGAGACATTTGACAATTCAGAAAAGGCCTAGCTGTTAAAGCAAAAATAATTGATTTTCCATAAAAAAGCATGACCTCTATTGTATGCATCTTGATCTTTTAAAAATTGAGCCAACCTTCAAAACCCATTCTAATGACCACAGGCAACATTTTCAAATTGTGTATGTATTTCACCCAATGCTTATATCGATGGTAATGATTTCTGATCGATTGTTAAAATGACCTAAATTAAAATGGTTAACTAATTTTGCAATACTCTAGCATAAAATAAGGCTGTAGAATAAGGGTGTGGTCTGGTTATGTCTCATCTTTGTTTGTATTCAAAGTAAATATAGTTATCGCCAAAAAGGCCCAGTCAGTTAACATCTTTGGACATCATGGGCTGGATTCAGATTTGCGCCATGTACAGACATTCAGTTTCTCCTGGGAGAGTTGCTGCTTTCCCAGGAGAAATCATAAGGGTACAGATGTTCAGGATTTTTCTCCCAGAGCAAGAATAACCCAGGAACAACCAGATTTAAATCACTCCTGGCAGAGTTTCTTCTTGGAGGGCTAATGTCTGTACATGTTCTCATCTGTAAAAAGCCACAGTCTTGCAGCATCCCAGGGTGCTTTAGTCCAGCCTTCCCCTTTTCCCTGCCCCCATGCTGCTCCCATTCTGTTTCCAGGCATACTGAGGGAGCCTGCAGAACATCCTGAAATGTGTGAACAGGGACACAGGCTGAACAGAGTCAGCACTGCAGGCTGTCTCTTCTTCAGAGGCTCACCATTTGAATATCTGTTGAAGTGTTTCCTTGTAATTTTTCTGCCAAGAGAACAGACCCTCCCCCTCCCTCCCCACCCCACCCCCGGTCCATGTCCAGCTGCCAGGGGTACACTGATCCAAAAAGGTTGAAAACCCCTTCAGTAAACTATCTCCAGTTTTCCTACGACAAGTATCAGTGACTTCAGTAGTTAATGACACATTTATCTTTTGAGATAAATGTAGATATTTTTATCCTTCTTCTGATGCGTATTAAGTTTGCCACATCCTGAAATTAAAAAGTACTTTTTCATTTCCTTCCATATTGTTGCAGTAAAGCTGAATGTTGGTTCCAGCCCATTAGTTCCTAGTTGTGAGAGAAGATATGATACCTGGTAACTGAATCATCACAAATTAACGTCACTCAGGTGTTGTTTACAGACATTGTGCTTAGACTGGTTTAAATGCAGTTTTAAAACTCAAACATCCAGACATACAAGCCAATTTAGGCTGGTTTAAACCTGAACTGTTTCAGAAGTATACCTAGATAACTGACTATTATTCTGTGAACTAGTTCAGTGTTATTTGCAGGCATCAAGCTTTCTGTGACTAGTGTCTGGTTGGTTCTCCAGTTATCCCACAATGCACTGCTCCCTCCCCCAACGCCTGCATGGCAACTGGCTGGTACACATCTAACACTACTTTCCCAACCTCTATTGCCTGTGCTTGACTTGAGCATCCCTGGTTGGAGTTCTAGGAGCAGGTCTCATCCACTTCTAAAGATCTGATCTATTCCCTTCTGTGGGTGCCAGTTGACCAGGGTCCATACATCCCAGGCTTTATTTAGGGTGGGAAGTAGATATGGAGGGCTATCTAGTCTCCTGCTTCTGTGTTCCTGAGGGATTCAGGTTCCAGGGGGCTGCCCAGGGAGTCTACTACCACCAATGGAAGGAAGTTTATCAGCTTTTAAAAGCAGCAGAGAGCTACTACCCCTTGAGCTCCCAGCAGTGTGTGCACAGACACCTCTGAGCCAAGACAACTGTAAACTGGTTTCCAATCAGTGACATTCTCGAAACAGTCCAAGTGTTGTCTGTCCACACCTATAATATTCATCTTTGCTAAGGAACAGAGTTCTTAAAGAAATTACATTTAATTTTTCCAACTCATTATTTGATCTGCCTTTTAACTCTGTATACAGTTTTCTATTTAGGATGTCAGGGAAGAAAATATACATGTTCTATCTTTAAAGAATCCTTTTAAACATTTTTTTTAATGTGTGTAATGGTGAGTAAAGATGAGCCCGGTCATTTTTCAAGAGCAGCTGTTTGAATCTTCTTTGAACTATTTCCCTTGACCTATTAAATGAGTCAGTCCTTTTTTTTTCTATGAAAAGTAAGTATAGTTATCTACATCACATGTGGCATTAGTCTCCACTCTAATTGCACAGTCTTCTTGACTGTTCACACAACAGTCATCCACTGATGGCTTGGCTTTGGGGTATGTAAGGGTTTTCAGGTCTTCGAGAACAAGCAAGGTTAGACATTCATTTTGAGTCTTACTGCTGCTGGCATTGTTTTCAAGTTCACACATATTAGTTGGTCTGTTCATGGTCAACAGCCTATTAATTCCTTTATAAGTAGAGCCATAAGAATAAAAAATATGGCATATCTATCTGTTTTGTCATTACAAATAGTTATTTCTTATTAAATGACATAGATGAAAAATAGTTATTCTTGTAGCTTATTTTAAAGTACTGTTTTTTTTAGACTGTGTATCTGTACCAAGTGACCTGAACAAATACTGGTAGGTCAAAAATAAAACATCAACGAAAGTTTCATGCATCTAACTAAAATGATTTTTTTTCTATTATCTGACCTTTCCCTATATCTAGTAAATAATTTTTAATGTTTCATCAAGCATTTGTGTAACTGTTCAAAATGGGTATGTTGAAATTACTGGTTACTGTGAGAGTTAAATCTTTTATAATGGAGTTAATATGGTCATGTTTTGGTAAGGTAGTATCTTTTAAGTTACCTGTTTTTTTAGCAAAATCTTCCTTTCGATTTTTATCTTTCTGCAACACTGCAAGAAAACTGTGAGGTCAGATGTACATGGGATTTAAGACGTTAGTCACTGAAGCCTTCTTTTCAGGCTTTTAAATCATTATTTGGCTGAACAAAGTATTGTTTCCTCTTCCAGACATTCCTGAACAAATTATGCTGGTGAAGTTGAGTCAATAATAAAAACTCTGTACAGTAGTTAAACAGTGTTTTTTCTTAAATTGTCCATTTGTTTATATACTCGAGTAATTTTGCCTGTAATCGTTTGCAAGTCGCAATTTAGAAATTGGGTGAATAATTATTTCCATGTTTTAAGTCAAACTTATATCAAGGGAAATTTGGATTTTTCTTTAGAGTGCCAACCAAAGCTTTCTGTAAAATTCTGAGTGTGTATCATAATTAAAAATTCATAACTTATGAATATGAAGCAGTGTCTGTTTTATATAAACCAATAAACTGAAATAAAATCTTTTTGCTCTAGGGATTTAATTTTAAGTACTGTGATATTCCTTTTTCTGTGCATGCTTTCCATTGTTAAGTTACCGTAGTGATTGCTATATGTTGGTATTTTCTTTTAATGTAGCTTTATGAAGCAGAAAATAAGTATAAGATATTGGAGAAGGAGTTCCAGCAGTACAAGGAGCAGCAAAGTAGCAAACCAGAGATCCGGCTACAGTCAGAAATAAATCTTCTTACTTTAGAAAAGGTACTCATGGATTTCACTTTTTTTTTAAACAGTATATCCATAAGTAATGAAGAAGAAGTAGTAATCTGTTTCTTAGATAAAACTGATTAATCTTTTTTCAGCCATTAAATATCTAAACCCAGTTGTGGGTGAAAAGTAATCTTGTCAAATTCAGTTCAAGGCCTCTGGCAGACATTACACTTAAGACATGATGAACTATAGTGCCCTGGATGCTGAGAGTGATTTTTGGTGCTTCCAGGCTCTGGGGCAGAGCAGAGCATTTGATTCTGATTAGAGGTGCCAATATATCGGTCCAATATTGGATTGGTACTGATATAAAGAAAATTGGCTGTATCGGAAATCGGCCCAATGGGCCAATAATTTGGCCAATAAATGTCTGTGCTGCATTGCAACACACAGGCAGCAAGGAACAGAGCTGGCAGTGTGGAGAGCTGTTCTCAGATGGTAAGTCTGTATGGTGGAAGGGAAGGGGCATGAGGGGGACAGATCAATGCCCCCTGAAGTGATGGAGGGGGTACAGGCAGGCATTGCCCAGGCAGGTGCAGGATGGAGCTGTGGCTTGTTCGGGGGGGTGCGCAAATCCTACCACTGCTTGCACCCCAGGAAGGTATGGGGGGGCATGTGTCCCTGGATCTCTATGGGGCGGGGTAGGCACGCTGGAGCCAGAGCTGCACAGGGCTCTTCTCGCCGGGGTTTGGGCTCAGCACGGACATTGGGAGGGGGCTGCAGCCACCCCAGATTTCACCGCAGCTCCACTCCCAGTGCTGCCGCTGCCGGATGCCTGCGTGGCACCGCCCTTGCTCTTCCTGGCACATGGGTGGAGGCAGGGCATTGAGCCAGGACTGTGTCAGGTGGTGGCGCTAGCAGCAGAGCTGCAACAAAATTTGGGATGGCTGCAGCCCCCTCCTGCTGAATCTCAGTTGGCTGACAGGAGCAAGTGAGCTGCCAGCTTTTGCAGGCTTGGCTAGTGCACTCAGGTTACCCTGGTGGCACCAGGGAGAACTAACCAAGCTCTCAAAGCTCATGGGATACTGGCAGAATCGCCAGAAATTTTGACCAGTGTACAGAAGTTCAAGTGCTGTAATTTAATACCTTATTTAACAAGGATTAATTTACAATGCCCTTTTTTAAAGTGCTGTAAAGCCATGCACTTGTGTTTAAGTAATGGCAATAAAGCACTTTAAATGCAGAAAAAAGCAACTTGTATACACACCCTTGGAATTTAATAATGGCATTTCTTTTTTTATTTCTTCTGTATTAGCCAGTATCAACCCTAACCAGGGTAGGGACTGACAGGGCACTTTAGTCTGTCTGTTCACTTCATACTTTTGGTTAGCTACCAGCATGGAAAATGAGTGAGACTGTTATTGCCATTTGAATGCTTATTTACAAAGATTTTAGCAGAGGCCATCAAATCATTTTACATATGAACAGCCTACAGTATACTTGGACTGGATTCTAGGAAGTACTGGGTGACTGAAGAAGTAAAAGGTCCATATTGCTAAGCCTCAGGGACATCTGGCTTTGGACATGTTGTCAAGTAAAGCCATTGATTTATTGTTATAAGCATCATCCTGGAGTATGTTGTCTCAGTTTTTAAAAAGTGATATTGAAGGACAACGTGCAAGGTTGCATGTTGATTTGAAAGCCTTGCCTAATATCTAATTATTATACATATATTTTTCTCTGTATTTAGACTGCAAGCATCCTTCAAAAAATTGTTGTTATGTCTTCTGATCTTGTATTTCCTTTTAATATCCCGACAGATTGAATGGTAAACAGTTTGTGTAATTAAAAAAAATAATCAAACTTCTGCTTAAGGTCTTGAACTACTTAACTGGACTATTTACCCCTTTGTGGAACAGTCATGTGGAGAAGCTTGAGAGAGTCCAGAGAAGAGCCACGTGCATGATCAGAGGTCAGGAAAACAGACCTTACGATGACAGGCTGAGAGCCATGGGGCTCTTTAGCTTGGAAAAGCGCAGGCTCAGGGGTGATCTGATGACCACCTATAAGCTTATCAGGGGTGACAACCAGGATCTGGGGGAACGTTTGTTCACCAGAGCACCCCAAGGGATGACGAGGTCGAATGGTCATAAACTACTACAAGACCATTTCAGGCTGGACATAAGGAAGAATTTCTTTACTGTTCGAGCCCCCAAGGTCTGGAACAGCCTGCCATCAGAGGTGGTTCAAGCACCTACATTGAACACCTTCAAGAGCAAATTGGATGCTTATCTTGCTGGGATCCTATGACCCCATCTGACTTCCTGTCCTTTGGGCGGGGGGCTGGACTCGATGATCTTCCGAGGTCTCTTCCAGCCCTAACATATATGAAAATCTATGAAATAACCACTGCTTTTAAAATAAAGTTGCATAAGAAAATAGTTTCTTGAAAATCATTTTTATAAATTAAACAGTTAACTTGAAACTGACGCAATTTTTTTAGCAAATGATGTAGTAAATTTCAAGAAAGATTTGATCAGTGGTTCTCAACCTTTTTAAATTGAAGACACTCCTCAGGGCACCCCACAACAGACTGAAGGCACCCTTCCATAACTTTTAGTGAATGGAGAAACACCATTTCAAAATTTCTGGTCTCTTTACATCATACAGCACACTTCAGAGGATCCCATGGCACCTGAAGGGGCCCCAGGACCCTGGTTGAGAATCACTGTATTAGATGATCATATGGAACTATTAGAATTTTAATAAAAGAAAGAGAGAGAGTGCTACAGCTGACTGATGTCAAGAATTTCGTAGTAATTTTTGGATCATCATAGCTACCCATCACTCTTATACAACAGCAGGACAGGCAAGTATTTTGGCTGGAGGGCCGCTTACCGAGTTTTGGTAAGCTGTCAAGGGCCACATGGGTAGCCCCACCCTTTGACAGTTGCCCTGCCCTTGGTTGCCATACTGGGACCGAGCATCCTGCCCCAGCAACACCTGAACTTTGCCACCAGAAGTCCTTCCTCTTACCCCAAAACACTCCTTTTGCAAGGGAGGGTGCTGCAATCTTGCAACCAGGAAAAAAAAACCCAAATTGTATACGAAAAAAATAAAACATCTGCTATAACTTACTTTAATTTATTTAAAATATATTTGTACTGATTTGTGTTTGTGCAGTCTATCTAGAGGTGATTGTATAATAGCTCAAAATACATCCTACTGTATATTGTGCTTGGATGGTGGAGGGGTGTGGTTTGGAGGTTGGTGGAGGGGTGTGGGTATGGTGGGTGGTTATGGAAGGGTGTGAGTATGTGGTTGGGGTGGGAGCTGTGGGAGGGGTGTAGGAGAGAAAGAGAGATGGGGCCAGGCTTTTGGCCCCATCATGTGTGGCTTTTGTGGACTGCATGTGAGCCTCACATGATACAGACTGGATGGAATAGCCTGGTGGGCCGTATTTTGCTCACCTCTACACTACAGTATAATAAAACACACGCATTTTCTGGAGGTGGTTTATTATAACTCCCTTTGCATCTAATAGTGGCTACTTTTGATGACAGATTTGATGTCTTATGTTAAATTTCCAGGATAGGAAGTCCTATCTTTTTAGCAACCTTTCTAATTATTTATGATGATTTTCAACTCAATTGCAATATATGTGAATATTTCATAATTCTAAAGCATTGGTATTTTTACAGTTTCCTTTTGTCTTTGCATTTGAATTGTCCAAAGTATATTCCATGCCTATAATGGCAGTAATTGAGCAAACAATTGAACTCGACTCTGTTTGGACTTTGGCTTGGTAGATCAGTTCAAAAACAGATTTATGACTTAGACTTGGACAGATTTATCACTTAAAATTTAGCAACACCCTAACCTAGACTGGCCACGTTCAAACTATGAACCAAGTCAGACTTTGAGAGAGTACATTCCTAAAATATAGCCAAGTTGGCTTTTATTCATGTATAACAGATTGCCTAGTGCTTTTAAAATGAGTATTTTGATTAGACTATTTTTGTCTTGTTGCTTTGTATAGCTTAGCTATACATTATAGAAGTATTTACTTAGAATTCAAATGACCTTTTTAGCACATTACATTAAAAGGATAAAATATTGTTTTAAACTAGTCCTGTGTCTTCTATATGGTAAGTTAAGTGATAAAATATTTTTTAAGGTTCTAGGACAAATGTGGCTGATTAGAGGGGATAATTAACACTACTTGGAATACAAGCCAATTTTCCTTATTTCCCCCACTCCAATCCAAGGGCCACACTTAATTTGAAACCTGTTTCTCCCAGTGGCTTCAATAGGAGTCACCCCACATCTCTAAGGGCACTGTTTGGCACTAGGAGATGAGTGCTAATTAATTTGGAATGCTAAATTACAACTTACAGAAATATGAATATGGTTTTTCAAGGGTTTGAGGACTCAAAAAAAAGTTTATATCTGCTGTCCTGGGACTAAGACTTATCTAGTGCCTTTTCATATAGACTGCTATATAAAATAAAAATAAAGCTATATTTTAAACAAGAAAATGTTCATGTGCCATAATATTTATATTAACCTATATAACAGCTTTAGATGATGTTGTAGGTTACGCTACATAAACACTTCTTAAGCCAGAACCTTTGTATATATAGTCTTTCAATGACTGTAACCACTAGTATAAAGTTTCCGCTGATATGATTTTAATTGCTCTTAGGTTGAACTTGAAAGAAAATTGGAATCGGCTACCAAGTCAAAGCTTCACTACAAGCAACAGTGGGCAAGGGCTTTGAAAGAACTTGCAAGACTAAAACAGGTATGTAAATAGCATATAGAAAATGCACAATAAATATGTAGTTTTTCTTTTCTGAGGCCAATATAGAACAATATCATTCCACGGGGCATTGTTGCAAACTGATTCCCATTATAACTACCATTTTCTATTAAAATGCTGGCATCATTCCTAAATCATTAGTTTTGGGCTGGAATTTTTCATAACAAAACACTGCCTGAAAGTGAATTTTTGGCAATCTACTTTCTATCTTTTGAGTTTGGGGAAAATGAAAAAATACGTATTTTCCAAAGCTTAAAAAAACACTTCTAACTGCACATTTTAAAGGAACACATATACAACATAATTGGCTAAAGCTTGTATCTTAAAAATGGGTAAGGACATAATCCTCCTGGTTGATCAGGGCCTTAGTTTGACATGGAAATAGAATGGTTTTAAAAAATATCCAAGTAATTAAAAAAGGTCACTTGTGATGATGCTCAATCAGTGTCTGGTGAGAAGACAAAATAAAATGTATAGTGGTTTATCTTGGCTATGTCTCCCATCTGTTTTGTTTTTACACCAGAAACAGTTCTTATTTTCCTGCTTAAATATTAAATGAAATATATTTTGTGAGCAACTGTGGTGAGGGCACAAAAGAATAGAAGTTGCAAGTTCATCCCTCTAGACACTCTGTTAGTAAAAATAATTTTTTTTTTTTTTCAACCATACCAACTTAGTACGTATTTTATTTCAACTAATTCCTGGGGGAGAGCTGTTACCTAAATTGGACCTTTTGCATTATTCTCAGATTTCTGCAGCTTTTAACTTCCTGTATTTTCAAAGAGGAAAGTGGCTAAATGTTACAAATTGCCTATGTTCCTGTTTACCTTGTAGGCTTTAAAGTTTGTATCTACTTGTGGAATATTTGATATGGGGAAGATACAAGTGCTTATCTTTGCAGCTATTTTTTAAGAGGAGACGCATCAGCTTCCCCACCCCTCTGCCCTACAAAATTTAATTTTAAAATGGTAACAGTAAATAGTTTAACACGTATATTAACAATAATTAAAATAATTAAAAAAGACTTTTAAAAAACAATTTTTAAAATAAATGACAAAATACGATTTGCAGAATACAGCAAACTTGCAGGAACCCTAAAAATCGCAAAATTGTTTTTCTTTCTGCCTTCGGAATTTCATGTCTCTGATGTTGTTGATTTTGTTAGTTTGTCTGTGTTTTGTTTTAGTGTTTCTATGTTCTGCAAACTCAAAGCAGTAGCAGCTCCATCATTATCAATAATGCATATACCTGTTTGTGTATTTTTCTCAATTACCTATTATCTTCTAGAAATACATGGTGTGGTTCTTTCGTGTTGATATAATTTTAAGATTCTGCAAGTTGTTGCTTTAGGGTCTCCCCTTCATTGAATAAATGGGAGTCCCCATTTTCTAAATCTTATTCAGCAGGATGCAATAATTCTTTCTATATTATGTTCCATAGCTTTTCAAAATTTGCTTAAAACTTAAGAATGGAACACTGTAAAATAGCATGTCCCAAACTACACAATAAAGGCAGCCTTCCCTGTATTTTGCCAAGATTTGCAGCAGACTGAAAGGGGTTGTTTTGCCCTTCATTTCTTTGAAAGCCTTGGATCTCAGAAGAATGTATTGGAAGTAACATCTAATATTTTTTTTTTTTTTTAAGAAATGCACAAGAGAGAGGCTGTTCTTTCTGCCCTACAAGAATAAAAAATTGTTGTCCCTTACTATAAAGGGATAGTTTGGGACCTGGTGTAGATGTAATAGAGGAATAGGCCAGGCATTGTTCCTAGAGGATTACACTAGACTGGGGGAAAAGAGAAACTGGATTTCTCAGTACCCTTTCTAATGGATAGTTGCCTTGAACAAGAGCCCTCAGAGATAGGAATGTGAAAGGTTAAACAATTAATCGTTTAACCGATAAGTGTAGTCGTAACCAGTTAGCTTACTCTTTATCCTTTAGCTCTGGTGAGCACAGTCTGGCAGGGAAGTGGGGAAAGGAAGCCCCACAGTGCCCCAGCAGGAATCAGAAAGCTGGAGGGAGGAACAAGGGGGATGGGGCAAGAGGGTCTAATACCCTTAATTTAAGAGGAAAACAGCCAGCTGGCTAATGACTAGTGAATTAAGCAATTAGCTGCTTGGTCACAGGTGCTCCCTGCCTCTCAGTCTAGGGCTTCAGATGGGGTGTGTTATCTGACTGGGCTTGCATCCTTCCCCTCTTCCTCCAGTCAAAGGGCTTCAGGAGCTGAGAAGTTGCTGTGTCCTGGGTTAATCATTTAACCAATATAATTCAAGGAGTTCAAATGAATATTGTTTTAAAACAATATTTACATCCCTACTCAGAGGACCTTGCTTGTCTCTTGGAAGAAATGGTGTTAGTAATGAAGGGAGGGACAGAAATGCTTCAGCATTGTCACTGTCCAAAGCTGTAGATAAATATAATATTCAATTTCAGGTTTGGAAGTTAATCTTTTCCTTTACAACTTAAAGAGTAAAAAAAGGAAACATCTCTAGGTAATAAAAGTTATAAAACTGAGCTTTTGGTTTTCGATGCTGTCCTCATTTTTCCTTTTTGTCTTTGGTCTTTTTTGGTAGTAATTGTCAGGGATCAAAAAATAGCCTATAATATTTCTTAAATATTTGTGCACAACAGGATGATCTAATGAAGAACTTGCCAGGCTTGCATCAAAAGCTAAAACTTCCCAAAGGAGACCCCAAAATGCCCAGTATAATGTTTTTTTTTTCCCTTAATGAATTAGTTGTTTTAAAAAAAAAAAAACTTGTAGAATAAAGCAGGGTATCCATACCTTGCTACTTACTATTAAATATGTCTCACCTTTTATATTACTAGGTCAAATACATGCCAGATCAGTAGTGATGAAACAGGCATCCAAAGTAATTTAATTGGTCCCAGTCCAGGGCAGGCTGACCCCCTTAGTAAACATCTGAACCAATAAATAAGTTGATATGAAGACTGAATTATGCTGCCTACCACTTTATCCTTAAAAACAGGCCCTTTTAAACCTAGGTTGAGACTTCAGTGTACTCACGCTGTTATGAAGTCATATGTTTCAGTTGAATAGATAGAAGATGAACAAGGTAGCATTTCAACCTCATTTAAAATATAAAAAAGGAAAATGATCAGGAACCCATTTACTATGTTTTGAATGTAAATTTGGAACCTTAATTGCCTCCAGGAATTCTAGATCTGCTTTAGTTCAGATGATTTGTGCAATTGCACAGTTTGTCCAATTTCTTGTTTAAATTGGATTAGTACAATGTTAATTTTGTATTGCCTCTGGTGAATAGCCACAGGGTTGTAATCTATGCCAGTAATTTGTCACACCAAAGCCCTCTGGAGGACTATACAAAACATTTGTGTAGTGAGGATTAGACGTTGAAAGCCGTATCTTAGATTGTTAATAAATGTTAATGATGAAACCCAGCTGGTAAGTCTTGGAAATGAGATCTAATGCTTTGTGCCCATTGCCAAAAAAACATTTAAATAGAGATTTCCATTACTCAAAGGTGACCTAGTACAGTCAATTTGTGAATTAAAGAAGCATAATCTACAAGCTAAGCATTTAGCAAAATGTGCTTTTTCTTCTGATTTGTAACCATAAAAGTCAATGTTTCCTTAATTATAAAGTTCCCTTTTACTTGGGAACTAGCTATGTTGGAACAGATCTGTGATAGTTTGGTATTTTGTAAAAAATGCAGTGTATACATTGCAGCTTTTGCAAGTAAGTTGTGTGGACTTTAGAAGAAAAGTTACTAATTTTTCTCTGTCTGGAATTTTTAGATACTAAAATGAAGTATCAGCTATAACCAGGTAAAGGCGTGAATACACCCTGACATTTGCCACTCAAGCTTATTGGTAGTTGCAATAAAAGCAGTGTTTTGTGGAATTCAACTATGGTTTGTAAAGCTGCGTTTGAAAATTAGTTTGAAGATTCATGACCTTTTTGATTTGACCCCAGTGTTCTTCCTGCCATGGCAGGGGGTCGGACTAGATGATCTGCTCAGGTCCCTTCCGACCCTAGAAACTATGAAACTATGAAACCTTTGTCATCAAGCCTGAGAACAGATGTCTTCCCTATTCTCAGTGCCCCCTTTTTTCTTGAAAGTATCTACTGTAATTTCTTTGCACATATATACACTTGCATATTTTTTTCTTTTATATTTAAACTTTTTTAAAAGTCGGTCTTTGAACTTAGACCTAGATCCTGCAGAGATCAAGCACATGCGTACTTTATTATGACTCATGTGCAAAGAAATCCTCACTGTTTAGCCAGAAATTATACATATTTTGGGAGAAGAGATCTTATAGTAGGTTTATAGTAGATTTTAAGTCTTTTACCATATGTATACCCTATGGATTTGTTCAAAGCATAACTGATGCATTTGTTTAAAACAACACAGGCCTTATTGGCTGACATTGGCTCTATCTTGTCCAGCCTCCTGCTTATCCACTCAGTAATTAATGTGATTAATTTATAAGTAATTTAGCCAAGGATGGGACGTAAATCTTTGTTTAAAAAAACAGTTGGAGGTCCAAGTCTTGGTTAAAAACTGTGTCTTGAAACCATCCAGGCCCTCCTACTGACTTGTCAGCTCTGGGTTATTTTCAGAAAACTTTACTTGAGTTCCTTAGCTTCAATCGTAAGTTTTTCCCACAGACTTGTATGGTATGTGTGAGTGGGAGAGTGAATAGTGGCCGCTATTTAGCCATTGTTTAGTCTAGTGTATGTATGTTTACATCTCCCCTTTGGATTTATAGGCAGCTATGGCAAAATAAAGACTGTGTTTTCTTGATTTAAGGAGCTTCTTAACTGAAGCACCAGCACCTGGTGGCATGGTGGGATTCTTTCATAATCTAATAATAATTTTTTAATTCTTGTGTAATTAATGTTAATATTGCTGTAGAATATCAATACCAAAACCCCCATATGCCAGGGGCAGATTGCAGAGCAGCCACAAAGAGGCTGATCCTTGTTGTGGCAA